CAAAAACTATTATGTTAATCAGTTAATGACTAGTAACTTAGTTGATCAATTTTTCTAATACTAGTGTCTAAATTAATTGCTCAAAAAAAATAATGTATAAATTAAGAAAATAGTTTAATGAGCACAATTGTAATATCATAGTACTTAGTTAACCAATTGAATAATTTACCCTAAGAATATATTAGGACGCCGGCCACTTGAATCGAACTGATGAAATTTGTGATTTTTTCCCGACGGTAGAGAAAACTTTTCAAGGGAACTAAACCGAAAATTTATTAAATCTTTTGAAAACTGTATCTATAATGATGAGAATTAATTTAACGACATTTTCAACGAAATGTACGGTGTTGTTCGAAACTCAATTCTAGATATTTTGGCAAACGATTGAAACAGAGGTGTACCTAATTTCAGTAAGCGTTAAATGCACATAAAGAAACCATATTATATATACTACGGAACAAACGAATATAATCAATAAATTAAGCAGGTAAGACGGTAGAGTTGGTTTTGGGCAGATACGGAAAGTATAAGAAAACACGGGAGCAAACTGGAGCGTTACGGCCACGTGACGGTAAGTTGGAGTTGGCAGTTAGGGGAGACCAAAATGAATGTGCCGTTGGGTTTCCCATCACAGCCTGAACCGACACAATTGGTGTGTACCATTCGTACCTGATTATCGCATAAATATCCCCCATATTTTGTACTCTAATTCCAAAAGTATTCTTTATTTTTTCTTGCAAAAAATTTCCAAAAGTAATCATAAAAAATAATAAAAAAATAATAAAAAAATAACATCAACTAAGAGATTTTGTTCATAAAATATTTTTTTTGTTATTATTTGAGATTTTAAGTTCGAACACTATAAATATTAGAAGTATGAGCGAATAATATAAGATGATTAAGAGTTATTTTAAAACATATACTGTCTTTTTTTTATCACAAAATAATTTTTAAAAAAATCCAAATTGATTTCATTTAACTTTAAGGGTAAAGATATTCATAATCTCTCAACTATATGATATTATTTTGTTAAGTATCATTACAATTAAAAGTTATAAAATAATTATTCGATTATATAAAGCTATTTTATTGAGTTATTGGACTATTAAAAGTTATAAAATGATCAGTCGACTTGCATATATTTCGAATTCGTTATTTTTCTTTAAAAATTGATAATCATATGAGTTAAACGTTAACCTATTAACTCAGATGTAATAAAATCGTAGTTTAATGATGTCTATTAACACAACTCTTACTATCAGATATTGACTCAACGATATAATATTGTATATTATAATTTTAAATAATCGAGGAATTTAATAAAATAAGATGTTATAATAGGAGGATTGTTGTATATTTTATCCTAATTTTAATTGAAAAAAGTCGAGGATTTTCGAGAATTAAAAAAGTAAATTGAATTTAAAATGCAACAAAATAAAGAAATAAAAATAGTGCAAGTTGAACCGATTTTTGTCGATATTTGCTCAACTTACCCTCGATTCCGCTACACAAACTTTGTCGTATTGTGTGCCAACTCAGCTCTCCCCTTGGTCGTTTGTACTTCCCATACAATGAAAATGCTATCCAGCCTGGCCATACTCAAACTCCCAACCGTACATTTATTTCTTTCCCATTGGGTATAGACGTTCCAGATTTTAATTTTTTGATAAACTGCCCTGATTTCTTGAAATAAATGTCATTTTTCAGTTATTAATGAAATTTTGAGGAAATGAAAATATTTTGGACGTTTCGAGATTTCCACCGTTTAACTTAATACGCAGCGGATAGGTGGGAGCAGCACGTAATGAATATTTGATATTTTAGGGGGAAGGGCCAGAGGGGCTGCTGAGATTCACAGTTTTACGTGTAATTAAAGAAGTTAGGATTTGACGCGTGTCCTATGACAGCTGTATACTAGTAACTGTCTTCCCTGTAAGAGTCCCCATCAGTCCATCACTCAACCGGTGACTACTCACTTTTACCGGTTCAACACGTCATCCTTATCCCCCTCCCATATATATTGCTCCTCCCCCATTTTCTTCCCTATTCTTCTCTCTTTACCCAAACGTGAGGCTCCGCCTCAACCTCAACAACCGTCGTAACCATCTCTCCGGCGGCGTTCTCTCAGCTTTCTCTTATCTGTGCAGATATGATAATAGCTTAGATTATCCTTTTCTGAGTTTTGGGTTAAATCTGTTCATAGTATTTCTTTTCCTTTCTTTTCTTTACTCTGCTTTTTTTTTTTTAAATTATAATGGCTTCTACAAAGAAAGATGTGGATCGGATCAAAGGTCCGTGGAGTCCAGAAGAAGATGAGGCTTTGCAACGGCTGGTTCAAACGTACGGACCCAGAAACTGGTCTTTGATAAGCAAATCAATACCGGGTCGATCTGGGAAGTCGTGTAGGCTTCGATGGTGCAACCAACTTTCCCCGGAGGTTCAACACCGTTCTTTCACTCCCGAAGAAGATGAGGTGATTATGCAGGCCCATGCTCGATTCGGCAACAAATGGGCTACCATCGCCAGACTACTCAATGGCCGTACTGACAACGCTATTAAGAATCACTGGAACTCAACGCTAAAGAGAAAATGCTCATCCATGGCTGATGATTTAAACGATGATTCCCCACAGCCGCTTAAAAGATCGGTCAGTCTGGGAAATGGTAATAACACATCGGGCCTTTACTTGAATCCCGGTAGTCCTTCTGGATCCGACTTGAGTGACTCGAGTTTACCCGTTCCCACACCGATTTTCACCCCAATAGCAAGGACCGGTTCTTTGGTTCCGTCTAGTCAGCATGTGGAAACGGCCTCGTCGACAACGGATCCACTGACCTTACTCAGCCTCTCGTTGCCGGGTTCCGAAAACAAGGACGGAGGACCCGTGTCACCACCCGGGTTAAAACCGGTTCTAAGCCCGACCCAGGTTGCAGCACCAGCTGTGAAAAATGGCGAGATGAATGGGATGGAGAAACAGTTTTTTAGCGGAGAGTTTTTGGCGGTGATGCAAGAGATGATAAGAAAAGAAGTGAGAAGCTATATGGCTGGGATTGAAAAAAATGAGCTTTGTTTGCAAACCGAGGCTATTAGAAATGCTGTTGTTAAGCGTATTGGAATTAGCAAAATCGAGTAGGCAACATGGATCAGCTTAAGAGGACCAAAAAAAGAAAGTTGCTTAGTTTCTTTTCCTTGGGGTTTTCCTTCTAGAATTGGTGTCAGTTATTATGGTTATAGTTATACAAATAATAATTTTGGTAGTGTACAGAGGGGAAAACAATGCGGGCAGCCATGGAAATTAAGGTTCGAGTTTGGAGGGAAGGAACAAATTATATTACATAAAATCGAAAATAAAAAAAAATTGAACGAAAGCTCTAATTCCTATTAAACTGATGCCGCAGTTTTTTTTATCAATTAATGGCTTGAGCATAAATAACTGAAATTCTCATCGGAGGTATGGAGGTCTAGCTCGTCGCCGTCCATCGTGTAGATCTCCCAATCGGCACCTCCGTCGGAGTAATGTCTTTAGATTCTTGTTTGATTCGTCGTTTTTAATTGGTTAGAATTTAAACAATAAATTAAAATTTTATAAATTTTATATATTTTTGAATAATAATTTGATTATTATAAATGTTTTAAAAAACTTAAATATGGTTTTAAATGATTTTATGTCAAACTCATTTTTAGATTTTTAGTGAAGAATACCATGTAAAGCATCAATTATTAATTTAACATGTTAATTTTAGAAACCATTTTGTGGGTAAAATTGGGTTTTAATAATCTGGTCCAATAAACTAACTCAAATATTATTTTGTGGGATTAAACGTTTATTTTTTTTAAATTCATGGGACTCGTATGTGGAATAAATATATTATTTTTATAATTTAAAATAATATAAAATAATTATAAATTTATTTTTTAAATTCATGGGAATTGTATGTGGACGTGATGAGTTACATTCGGATTAAAATTATAATCCATTAAAATTCATCATGCGAGCGTGAAAAGTATTAATGAATAACTAACTAAAAATAATTACATTTATATGTTCATATCATTTAAAATAATCCATTTAAAATTTATTAATGTTCATATCATTTACTCTTTAAGAATATAATTTTTTTCTATAAATAAATGTTTTCTTGTTCATATCATTTTAAAAAGATTACTGAAGTAATAATTAAAAATAAATATTGAAATTTAATAAATTTAATAATTTCATTTATTTTATAAATATTATAATATAAACTAATAATTAAAATTTATTTTACTAAATACAAACAAATAATAACATAAAATTTGGTCATTTTCGTTTTGTTTTATTTAAGATGTTATCACTGAAGTTTAACGGCCGTTAAACTTTTAACGGTTCAATGACCTGACATAATAAATATATAAAATTAAAATACACTTCCACAGACAATACGCGGATTAAGTTTTGATAATTTTTTTTTCATATTTGCACATTTTTGCTAACCAAATTAAAAAAAACATAAGTTTTGATCACTTACATTATTATTTCATTAGGTTTTGGTCACTTACGTTATTATTTTATTAAGTTTTGGTCACTTGGACGTTGAATGCCGTTAATTTGATGTCGTGACTCGTTAGTAAAATGGTTTAATTTTTATTTTAACCTCTAAACTTTAGACAAAATACTAATTATGGGTATTTATGTAAATTCAAATTAGATTATGGACAACATTTCAATTTACCCATTTTTAATATTTTTTTCTCCTTAACCTCCAATATTGCTCATCTTATCCCGGCTTCTTCTTCAGACATCTGTGCTCTATTGCAATAACCTTCTTGTTTCTTATTATTAGTTGTAATTATTTGAAGCCAAATAGTTCTCACTTGTAAGAAAATGTATAAAAATAAGTAATGAAAATCGTGAAAAGTGTAGAGAATTTGCCATTAATACATTGAAAAGATTCACCATCACCACGATGTCACCGCCTTGAGCCGAGAAAACTATAGCTTTTTTAAAGGTGACGTTATTGATGACACCGTACCAGGTTTCCATCTCTGATGCGTTCTTGACCATCGAAATCCCCATGATGCGAAAGATCATTGAGAACATTTTGTCGCATCCGAACGTGATCGACCTCCACGACGTTTACGAAGATCAAACTGGAGTTCACTTGGTACTAGAGCTCTGCTCCAGAGGTGAGTTGTTCAACTGAGACGTCGTGGAAATGAGGTACTTGGAGATTGGCATGGTGGTGCAACAGATCGTGCAGGCCACAAGGGTTAACAATAATTCATAAGGCAGACGTTGTTCATAGGGATTTAGAATCTAAAAATTCCTTGTTATTGAACAAAAACAAAGATTTAACGTTGAAGATCATGGATTTTGGACTGAGTTCAGTAGATGAATTCATGGATCTAGTTATCGGGTTGTTTGGATCCATCAATTATGTTTCACCGGAGGCATTTTCTCAAGGGGAAATCACCACGAAGAGTGATATCTAGTTATTGGGTTATTTGGATCCTTTGATTTGTCTTCTTGTTCCGTGTTGGATTTTGCATTATGCAATCTCAATCTTTAGAAATTGAATTTTAGTTTGTACAACTGAGATTCCCTAGCTTCATTTTATCTCTAGATGACTGTCCTCTTACCTCTTATTTTTTTTTCCTAAACTTGTGGTGTTATTATTTATTATCAAAAGTTGGAAATCTTGCATTTTACTTGAATTGTAGCACGAGTCCTTAAAAGAACACAAATGAACCAATGAAGCGGAGATGTTTGAAGAAGAGATAGAGAGAAGACGAATAACAATGGGGTTGGTGTTGCACCATGTATTTTGATATAACAATTTAAGGGAAAAATGTTTTAGGAATTAATTAAATTTGTTCAAAGTTTTCAACAATAATTCAAATTCCATAAAACTTGAATTTGAACACAAAATAGCTTTCTGAGTAAGTAGTACTAATATTGTTCTTACATTATTGATACTGTATGAACAATACTAATACTATTATTGCAGTATCGATACCAAAGGTTAGAGAAGGATTGATACTGTCATGATATTATCGATACTACCTATTTTTTTCAAGTTGATCAAATTCCAATAAGAAAAATGGTACCATTACTCTAGGAGTATCAATACTACTTTACACAATAGTATTGATATAATGAAACCCTAGTATCGATACTAGTTAAGCCCGACGATCACTAACAACTAGTTTATTAAAAAATTATGAGGGAAACACCAATACTCCTAATGGAAATATCGACAATCCCCGTTATAGGTAATTTTTTGTAGAAAAATAAGTCCTCAATGAGTCTAAATATCCTCTAACATTTAGAAACGACCACAAACACAATTCAACATCTAAAAACAAGACAAGAACACTTTAAGATGGTTACAACACCTATCCAATCAATCCATATCAAGAGAAAAACCCTTTCACTCTTTATTTATATTTTCTTTTGTAAATAGTGTTTTAAGCTTAATTGTTTATCTTTTGTATCCATTCTTGTAAGCTTAAATTTGTAAACACCTACCTTTGTGAGGTTTTCTTATTTACACTTCTTATCTTTTTGTAAAATGGGGAGTAATTCTATCTTAGTCATTGAAAAGTTACTCTTGAACCTTGTAAAAGAAAGAACAAATTAGTGAATTTGTTAGAAATCCTTAGTGTGTAGCTAAGGTACTAGATATAGACTTGGTTTAGAAGCCGAACCATTATAAATCTTTATGCATATTGTCTATCTTTCTTTCCTCTATACCCAAAATTTTCAAAAGGCTAATTCAAATCCTTTTGGAACTTTTTTCGGATGATCATTAAAGCCTTTTAAATTCCAACAATTGAAGAAAACATATTAAAAATGGATAAATTGAAAAGGTGTCCTTAAACTAATTTGAATTTATAAAAAGACCCATAATTAGTATTTTGTCTAAAGTATAGGGGTGAAAATAAAATTAAACCATTTTACTAACTGGTAACATCATCAAACTATCAACACTCAATTTCCAAGTGAACAAAACTTAATAAAACGATAATGTAAGTGACCAAAACTTGTGTGTGTGTGTGTGTGTTTTAAAATTTAGGGAGCAAAAGTGTACAAATATGAAATGAAAGTGACCCAAACTTAATTCACGTATTATCTATGTGGAAATGATGTAATTTTAATTTTATATATTTATAGTGTCACGTTAGTAAACCCTTAAAGGTTTAACGGTGGTTAACCTTTAGTGACCACATCTTAATTAAAATGAAATGAAAATGCCCAAATATTATGTTTTTAATTCAATGAGGACAAATTTATAAAACTCACATGAAAGTGATCTTATATTTTTTTTGTGATTATTGACAATCACAAGTAGTGGTTGAATGATAATGACGTGGGGCTCATCTATTTCTTCACGGCCTTATGCCTTCATCATATTCTCCTTGGTTTTTCTTGATACTATACATTAGTTCACCACTTTGATTTCCACCTTTAAGTGATAGTGAGAAATTTAAGGTGTTTTACGCCATCATTTAAGTCATTAACTCAAAATGCATACCAAAATTACTAGATGGTTGAGCTTATAGAAATTGATCCCATGGACCCACAATTTCTGTCGATGGTGGTTGAGAGAGTGGCACTACATCCCATTCCGGCTGAGTCTCCATTGAAGCATTATATGGAGGATATACACCATAACTCACTTGGGATGAAAAATATTATGCATAAGTAGAAAAAGAATATGCTGCTACTGATGATAATTTCTTGGCCTTTATATATTTTGTCTTCATTTCTTCCCATTTGGTCTTATCTCTTGGCGTTGTTAAATATGGTTTCCCACTTACTTCATAAATTTGGAGTAAGGAGATATTGAAAAATCAAGATCATTTGGTACAAGTTCAGAACGAATAGGCATATATAAATGACTCTTATTTCATTATTTTATTATTGCTTCATCAGCCAATTCTCTCTATGCTTCCCACGAATATCAATTTTGTGTAGTTCATCCATGTTAATCATCTTCATTGGAATTGGTTGATGGGACCCAAGCTTTCCTAACACTCTATCTGCGCATGGATCTCAACAATGGCAAAATAAAGCAACAACGTTACGACACACCACGTCTCCACTCCTTCAAAAAGAATTGTGGTAGACACCGTTGAATATTTACCGCATGTCTAGTAGCCATATCGATCCTCATTCGTACATCAATTTTCATCGCACCCTCCAACTTTGTATCGGTAATCTTATGTCATCATCTAAAAAACATAATAAATACAAATTAACAACTACATTTTTTATTCAAAATTTCTAAACATATTAATTAATAATATAAATTTACTCAAATATAAATTTAAGAAATTATCTTGTAGTGAGAGAAAACTCAATTGAAGCTGTTGCAATTGGCATAAAAAATGGAAAGCGACACTATGCCCACTATTATAATAAGACTAGACAACCCACTACATCTGCTCTTTGACCCATTTCCACGATTTTGGCCTCATCGCATCTCGGTTGTAATTTTTATGTCTCCCAGCGTCGTACCATTTATTGGGACACTGAGTTCGTAAGCCACATCTTCCAAAGTAATTTTTGCTTCACCACTAGGAAAATAAAATATATGAGTTTCATGTCTCCAATGTTCAATCAACGCCAATATTAGCACAGACACCACCCTAAAACCACAAAGAAATATGGCAGGATACAATCAAGACTACTGTAGATAAATAATAGTTCGTTTATGTGGCCGTTCTTCTTCCTAGAATTTAAAATTCAAAAAATTAATAAAATTTTCAAAACAAAAACATTAATATTATAATTTGAACTTTTAAAAAATATAAGAAATAAATCTTACCGAAGTAAGTTTAAACGATGAAATATAGATATGATCAAGACGAATCGTTTGTTCTCAGTTAGATATTTACCACAAAATCTTCAAAAAAACATAAAATTTTGTCTCAATAATTTTTCTTCTTCTCAATAAATCACAATACAAAGTCTCAAATCCTATTTATAATAATTTCAATTCCAACTACCATAAATGACTAGTTCATGGAACTCGTCAAGTCCACATGACGAGTTCCATGGACTAGCCGTTTATGGCCATTGGAATCTGCCTATTGGCCAATGTTTACTTAATGGCTACAATTTTTAAATCCAAACGGAAATCTCCATATTCACATGACAAGTCCCATGATTTTTTTTTCAAAAATTAAATATATAATTATTTTATATTATTTCAAATTACAAAAACAAATATATTTGAATGAAAATCGCCATGTGGGCATGGCGCGTTTCATGAAATATAGTAAACAATTAGGCCCCACGAGATCCACAGACCCGAGTCCATTAAAAAAATATCCCAAAAAACTCGTCATGTGAGCGTGACGAGTTTGACTTGTACTGTAGCAAATTTCGTATTTCAAAAATTAATAATTTGGTTGGTCTATTAGTCCAAATAATTAGTTCGCTTGGATTATTGGTCCAATTTTACCCCTTTTGTGTTTAATTCTTTGGAATAATTTTTTTATTAAACGTTTAATATAAATATTCAAGATTTTTTCTTTCTCCGAAATTTGTCATTTGATTTCTGTTTTATGGTTTAAAATTTTATTTTATTATTTTTAGAGAAAAAATTGAATTTATGGTTTAAAATTATTATTTTAAATTTATTTATAAGTGAATATTTTATTTATAATGAACAAATTATGTATACAAAATTATGAAGTATAAGTGAATTATTTTTTACAAATAGAGCGGTTACTTTTATTAGTTGAGAAAATATTCAAAATTATAATGAAGTTTGTAGAATAAGCACATGATTAGAATATTTTTTATAATTATTAATATAATAAACTAGTCACTCAAGATCATAGAAAGACCATACAAGAAAAATGTTAAAATCCATCCAAAAACTCGAAAATAATCATATAAGGAAAATGTTAAAATCCATTAAAAAACTTGAACAAAATGTATTTATAAAAAATATGATTGCATCAGCAAACGAAACACAACAGGAGATTAAAATTATTGAAATGCCACTGACAATCACAAATTAGAATCCAACGCTGTTAGAAGACTATCTATGAACACAAACTGTATATCAAAGTCCAATATGAGGGTCAAAAATAGGAATATCAGAAAGATATAAAATAAGTGTCATCTTAATTAGTCAAGGTGACATCAAATCCAACATTGAAAAAAGTAAACGAGAAGAAAGGCCAAACAATCGAAAATATGTCACAAAGATAAAGGAAAACGTGTCATGTAGAATTATTAAAAAAAATGTAAAACAAAGAAAAGTATACAAAAAAGTAAATAAGTGGCAAGATTGATGAAGAGGAAGGATCAAGTTCAAAGAAGCCCACACATAAGAAGAAAGAGAGACAGGGGTTTATAACCAAAACTACAAAAGATAGGGGCAGTCTCTCCCATCAAACCCACACCAACAAGTTCAAAGCGTCGCCTAAGAAAGATAGAACCTAGAGGGAAAGACTGAACTTCACGCCAATACCAG